AATTGACATTGCCATGAGTCAAATTGAATTGAAATTGCCGTGAGTAAATTGAAATTGCCGTGACACTTTTGGGCCACGGTAGAAAAGTCATGGAAATGAAAAATTTAAGGTGGCTCGATACAGTTTTTCAAGGCCAATACCTCCCAAGTTTGAGCATAAACTACGTCGCCATAAACAAAGTTTTGGAAAAATTGCCACCACAGTTGTATTAGATAAAGATGAAAATTTGTTGTGATCAGGGTTGCAATTACATCGGAGTTGTCATAGCAACGAAATGACGCTATTAACTATTTTACTTGCAGCAGTATATCTCAGCACTGAGAACTGTTCTTCCAAAATCGTTCACAGGAGCGTTTTCCTCCAATAGCGGCCTCGACGTTCGTACAGTTTAAGCGAAATCTGTAAGAGCGTTATCAAGATACTTTGGGATGAAGTTTTTATGGTTAGAAACACAGTAAAAAATGGACAATATTGTTGTTTGGCCGTTATCTGTAAAAAATGAAGCGCTTTTTACATGCAATTTAACCTCATAGTAGTTTCAATCTTTTTAAAAACGTGTGTGAAAGATCATGGAGATCGCTCCAGCCGACTGCTAGAAAGAAGGGTTTTATTAGTATGTACCGAAGCGCTCTTTTTAGCGGTTTTGTAAACATTTTGGTCTTCTTTAACAAATTAGCAAATAATTTTTAAACCGCTCGATAGATTTTTTTTAAAATTTAAGATTCTTGAGATTAACCTTTCTTTTATATGACCTTTTAGTTTCAAGATTATTGATACATTGTAAGGCAGTAAAATAAGGGCTACAATTCGTTACTTTTCTATCGGAAGTTTCGTTATGACAAGTGAAAACCTCTCATTATTCAAGGCATTGTCTCCAAGTTTCATTTTCACGTGAACAACAGTAACTAACAATGCATTTGAAATATGCAAAAATGCTAGCTATTGTTATGCGCGAAAATATGAACCTTGGAGACCATACCCTGAATAATGAGAGGCTCACATTTGTAAACACAAAATTTCTGCCAAAATATTGGCGAATTTTAGCCCTTATTTTACTGCCTTACAATACATCAATCATCTTGAAACTAAAGGGTCATATAAAAGGAAGATTAATCTCAAGAACATTAATTTTTTAAAAAAATCTATCGAGCGGTTTAAAAATTATTTGCTAATTTGTTAAAGTAGACCAAAATGTTCAAAAACCGCTAACAAAAGCACCCCGAAACATACCAATCAAATCCTTCTTTCTAACAATCGGCTGGACATATCTCCACGGTCTTTCACACACGTTTTTAAAAAGATTGAAACTACCGTGAGGTGAAATTGCATGTAAAAAGCGCTTCATTTTCTACAGATAACAGCCGAACATCAAGATTATCCATTTTTTACCGTATTTCTAACCATAAAATCTTTATCCCAAAATATCTCGATAACGCTCTTACAGATTTCGCTTAAACTTCACGAACATCGAGGCCGCTATTGGAGGAAAAAGCTCCCGTGAATGATTTTGGAAGAACAGTTCCCAGTGCCGAGAAATACTTCTGTAAGTAAAATAGGTAATAGCGTCATTTCGTTGCTATGACAACTCCAATGTCATTGCAACCCTGATCATAAAAGATTTTCATCTTTATCTAATACAACTGTGGTGGCAATTTTTCCAAAACTTTGTTTATGGCGACGTAGTTTATGCTCAAACTTGGGAGGTATTGGCCTTGAAAAACTGTATCGAGCCACCTTAACTGGAGGTGAAAACCTGCAGACATATGCAGAACTTTACTGCTCTGTGGAAATTACTGGAGAGGTACATGGGCAGCTCATTTTTCTCTCTGTCATCAACATTTTTCTGTCAATTACAGCATTTTTGGGGAATACTCTGATCCTAGTTGCCCTTCACAAAGACACATCAATTCATCCGCCATCCAAACTCCTGTATCGTAACCTAGCGATAACTGATCTTTGTGTTGGTATCATTGTCGAGCCCCTGAATGTTGCTCATTGGATATCTGTGGTGAACAAAAGATGGGATATTTGCTATTACACATATTTGTCAGCACATTTCGCAGCTGTTACTTTGTGTTCAGTGTCGTTGATAACACTGACTGCAATAAGTGTGGACAGACTTCTCGCTTTGCTACTGGGTTTCAGGTACAGACAAGTTGTAACTTTGAGAAGAACATGTTTAATTGCTATTGGTGGTTGGATTGTGTCCGTTGTCGGTTCATCTACATCCTTTCTGAATCTTCTTATAGTTTCATTGTACAATTATATTGCTTCAGCTTTTTGTTTAGTTACTACAATCTGTGCCTACACAAAAATTTTCATGTCTCTGCGTCATAACCAAGTTCATGGTCAGAACCATGTTCCTCAATCGAGCCAAGCAAATACACTGAATAAAGCTCGATACAGAAAGGCAGTGTACAGTGCACTGTGGGTGCAGGTAACATTGGTTATTTGTTATCTTCCGTACGGTATCGCCGTAGCTTTAACAATTCAAATTTAGTGTGTTTAAACTCGTCGTTAAATCCGTCGCTGTACTGCTGGAAGATCACAGGAGTGAGACAAGCTGTAAAAGAAACATTAACAACTACACTTCTGTATCAACTAAGACTTAGACTAAGACTTATGGCATTAAGACTACCAGTTGTAAACCGCCGTCCAGAAAGTGTAGTTTTGGCTTGTTAAAGGAACATTTACTAACGAACTTCATAAGAAACTGTAAAATATGAAAGAAAATAAATAATACTATGGGTACTGTACTTCCGATAAGCTTTAAAATTAGAACTTTCATTCTTTTTTTATAAGCTTGTAGAACCACACCTCGCTTGTCATTTATTTTTCACCAAATTCAAATACAAAATGTGTCTCAAACATAAAAGAAGAGCTTTCATGGCTTTTGAAATGGAGAGCAGCCCAGAGAAAATACACTTGATTAAAAAAAAAACCCGAGGGGATTGACCTCAAACCCCCCCCCCTCATTTTTACGTTTCAAGAGTTAACCATAGCTCGACTTAGAAAACCAGACAAATGTCCTGTATCTTTCCGAATTGAACCATTAAGATTATTTTCTCATGTCTCATTGCAGGTTAAAAGACAAAAACAAAACTCATTAGGATAGATAACCGTTCCCCCCCTACCCCGCTCCCCGAAAAACTCTTTGGGGAGGATCAAAGACCGGACCAGGGAAACGGCGGAAATCGAGCCCACAAACTCATTTGTTTATGTTAAACATACAAGTTAATAATCAGAGTCATCTGAATACAACATGAAAATATTACTCACCAGTTAGCGAATTAGTTCTCTGACAATGAAGACCCAATGCCGCGGACTATCAATAAGCTACAGAAAGAGAACAGCTCATTTGAACTCAGTTACATCACAGAGACACCAGCCAGAAAACTGTCAGGGAATTGTACTGTAATTTACATGGTTTCTCCGTCTTCCATGCACAAGTGAAAATGTTCACTGGATGTGTACGTGTGCTGTTCACTAGTGTATCATTAAAATAAATGTTCACTGGAAGTGTACGTGTGTTGCTCACTGGTGTATCATTAAAATTAAAAATAAATTTAAAATACAGTAGCATAAATAGTCATAGAGGGTCAGAATTAAGCCTTGTTGGTGTCGAGTAAGTGTCGAGTAAGGTCGAGGTAAATCATTGATATGCACAAGGGTCGAGTTTATGACGTCACCCATTGTTATAACCTAGGGAAAATGGGTTGGGAAAAAGTGCCTTCCTGCCGATTAAGTGTCTAGTCAGTGTCTTTCTCCATACTAATTTAGTGCCTTTCTGCATAGTCTTGCCCAAGCGACTATATAAGACATACACCATGCATTCATCATCATCTTCAAGACAAGACACACAGGTCTAATCATGGCCTCATTAAACGTGCTCGTCAAACTCCTTCCCTCCTCACCCTTTCGCCTTTCCCGTTGTTTTTTCATTGGCGTTCGCCGCTTCCTTTCTGCCTCCTGTTTTTATTTCCATTATCCTCAATTTCTTAAGCTATGCTCCCAGTGAGTCTCTTGTTTTGCAACCTAGATTTTGTAGGTTGCCACGTGTTCGACATTCGGTCCGGTCACATATATTTTCAAGGTCAGTATTCAGCCTGAGTATTCTCTGCACTTTTTCCCTTTTGTTTGGAGTGTTTTCTTAGTTTTATTCTTTTCTTTGGTTGTATTTCTTTCCAATCCTTTCCTTGTTATTCTTTTTCTGCAGCCGCTCCCGGGATTTCATGCGGGTTGATTTTTTGCATTATAATAGTTGCCAGTCAACCAATAGCGGTAGAAGGTTCTGTTATTGAATCGGGGGAATCGTTTAAGCTCCTCGGGGTGTACATTTCCTCGGACCTCAGCTGGTAGACTCATTGCGACTATATAATAAAGAAATCAAACCGCCGCCTTTATGCTCTAAGAAAACTGAAAGCTTGTGGGGTGCAAGATGGGGAGTTGGTGGCTGTGTATTGCTCCCTACTAAGATCTGTTGTAGAGTATGCATCGGTAGTTTTTGGAAATTTACCGCAGTATCTCTGCATGGCTTTAGAAAGAGTGCAAAAGAGAGCCCTAATATATAGATTTAGCCAGGGCTAAAAGCGAAGCTCCCATTAATAAATTTATATTTTAAATTAAACAATAAACTTGTAATCCACAAATCAGTTAACTTAAGGGCACATTCATGTGACTTTTGAGGGAAAGGATAAGTTATTTTAGAGTGAAACATCTTACATCGAGTTGATAGCTTAAATATATGTACACCCAAAAAATAGCAAACATCTTCTACCACATTCAAGAGCCATAATTGCTCTTGATCACAATAGATTAGGCCTCGAAAACAAATTCTTGGAAAACAAATCAGGCCGCATTTTTATGCGTTCGACAGGTTTACTTTACAAATCCTTGCCAACAAATCTGAGGGTGTAAAACCAACCTTTTATACTTTTTATACATCACATCTGAGGTGAAACAGTACTTTTATCATACAGACCTCGGACAGAATACGGCATTTCACAATTTTTCAATGTCCAGGACGATCAATCGTGGGCTTTTAGCGAAACCGTTCAAAAAATTTCCAAAATCACCCATACGGCCAGCCGGTTCTCATTTTTAGTGCGAGCTGTCAGTGTGGTCGAGTGTTTGAATGAACTTTAATGGAGATACGCTTCAACATAATAACGAATTTATTATCATTACTTTTTGTTATTTAATGGTTCCAGTCATAACGATGTGTAATCTTATAAAGCGTTTGATAAGCGCGACACTTCTAAGTACTCCTGCAAGCGATGTTCATGAACGATGAAAACAAACACCACGGACAAGCGATTAAAATTGCAAGAGAGACTACTAACAATCAATAAAAGAAATATAATTCGGTAAAACATTTACAGAGACAACAATTTTCATTCACCAAGACAAGTATTAAAGTGTTTCTAAAAATCCTGAGTCTTTAAGCTTAAAGCTTAAGCTTAAGTTTATTTTGTTTTACTTTCAGCCGGCCTCCCGGTGTTTGTTTTGTTTTTCAAAGATGAACTCCTCGAAGCAAGAAAATCACTCAAAGTTTTCTTTCTACAGCCAAATTTATAACTAAATATTCTTCGGAACGTTTTTTTTCTATTTGTCGTGAAAAAAAAAATCTGAAGGCCTTTTAAAGTTCTGTAAGCTTATATCAAACCTGATACTAGATCAGATCATTGACTCAAATCTTAACAAACGTGCAAAAACTTGCCGCATAAACTGTGCTCGACTTCATGAAATTAGATATAACAAAAACAAACATCAAATACAATAATTACTCAGGCTTACCATTCGAGATTCAGTTCCTGAAAGATATCAAGGAAGGCCATAGTTGCTTGAGACTTTTAAACCCTCTTACGCATTGAGCAAGGCCGGAAAGACGAAAACAATGCCATCCGAAATCGGATTACCCAATTTTGACAAGCGACGCATTTCTCAACCAAAAACCCAATAAACAAACCAGCCATGGATAACAGAAGACTCTTGATAGCAGCTGTATTTCATTTTGTACATCCAGTGGAAAAAGACAGTTAAAAACATCACAAGTTGACACAAAACTCTGTCAGCTTTACCTGTCAAAGTAAACAACTTTCAAGATGCTGCATAAATTTTCCGCATGAACTCACCTGTCAAATTTTGGCCAATCAGAGTACAAAAATTGGACGTAGAGCGTGACCAACGCGTGACCATGGTAAGAAAAGATCTTCCCCGCCTTTATTTTGAAAAAAGTGGCTGAATTTTCGCGTCCGAGGTCAGTTTGAAATCAAAATTTTGACAGTGCGGGGACATAGTGACATAAACACAACATATTTCATATGAATCATTGGAAAAATAGACTTGAGCCTGCGATCATTTGAAACTGGTAATTTGTCAGCGGATAACTTCAAAAAATACTCGACCTCGATGGGTCGACACTTGAGCCCGCGGTACGGTCAGGTGACACTGGTCAGCGGATATCCTGTTTTGACAGCTGTCAATTGATCACAACATTGACGTGCAATTAGTTTTCTACTGGGCTCCCAAACTAGCTAGACAGTGTGAGAGAAAACATTGGTTTCCCTGTGGTGCGGACGGACGGTCGGGCGTACGGTCACGTGATTACCAAATTTTCTCGGATGGGTAGATTACCACATTTCCTTAGCTATGGAGCTCCGTCCACACGCGCGCTTCGCGCGCGGGTGGAGCTCCGCTACGAATCATCTTTGGTCCTGACTTGAGCTACGAGGACACCCTCGCGCGTGTCGGGCTTCTGTCTCTAGAGGCCAGACGCCACCTGGCGTGTGAGAAATTTGTGACGAAAACTGTGCACGCTAGCCCGCTTTACCGCCTAATATCCAGCAGGGTCATCTCGTCGCAAACCTCGTATTCACTGAGGTCAGGACCATCATGCCATGTGTTACCCGGCCGAACTGACCGGTTCTCAGAATTCGTGTCACTTAAATATTCGCCGTATATCGATTGTGTGTAATAATGTGTATGCGATTTCTACCATATTACTACTTTATTATATTTATGTTTTTACATTTATATATTTATATGTATAATTGTATGTTTGCAGGAGTTTGTAATTGCTTTGCCGGACCCTACCTGTAATTCAGAGAAATCTGCGAATGGTGGAAATAAACAAATATTATTGTTATTATTATTATTATTATTATTATTATTATTATTCAGTCTTACAAGGGAGTCTAATTCCCTGTCGGATTACCGGTGGGTATTTTGGCTGCTACCCCTCGAGCCGCGTCTTTTCCTATATTGTCCTCACAGTACCAGTTATCTTTCAGGTTGCAATTCCTTAGTTTCATCGATCATTTCCTTCTGATAGATCCCGTGTTGGCTTCGGTATTTCTCCAATCTTATTCAGTGGCTCTAGCGGGATAGCAGTGAGTTCTTGTTCAGTTCTCGCAGTATGTCCGCGATTTCTTATTTCCGCATGCGGGATTTTCAGTTTTTTCGTTTCAAATGCCTATTTTGTCCTACGCTGTTTAGTAT